TTATTATGCGAAATTAAACCCTCTGACCATGTCGGTCCTAAAGGGACAGTGTAGCTTACAATTAACAGGTTACACAAAGAGAGAGAAAAGCAAGCAGAAGCATAGCGGAGCAAAGCAAAGAATATAATGCATGTTTTATGTGGCCATTCAACGAAACATTGAAACACGACCTTCCAACGTGCACATACATTCCACCGAGATAACATACGATGTGTCTAAACAGATTGTTTTTTGGACGATAAGATCAAAGCCAATAAGCTTGTACAATGTGTTTTCAAGACCGTGTGCTTGTTCGGGGAGGAGGAATCGAACCTCGTACACTCTAGTTCCGAGTCAGAAACGTACCCCATTCAGCTAGGGCTCCCCGTACTAAATGATTTATTTATACATTATTTAAATTAGTCTTTCTTTCTGATTTTAAATTTTTGCGAATTGATACTCTCTATTCAGCTTTATATAGTTTTTTTTTTCTATAAATAGGAATCTATAAGGATCAAAGAATAAGACTCTACTTGCCATCAGAACTCTTTATGAACAAAAAAAATTTCATGTGAAGAATCTTCGGTTTGGTTTTTTTCTATAAGTATTAGAGAATGTTGCACTGATCTAAACATGCATGTAAAGAATAACGATAATTTTAGATTTATTTCGATTTTTCCGGTCGAAGCAACTGGAATCTGTGAGAGCTAAGTCTTTCTCGAACTCGAAAATACCGGCAAACCTTCTATAAACTCAGATTCTTAGACCTCAAAAAATCTTTAGTTTATTTTTGTAAAATTTAGCTGTTTCACGGAGCAGGAACGCCTTGTGGAACGAGTTCTTTCAGTCTACTTGTACTCTCATAAAGTTTTATTTATAGGACAAAAAAAGAAAGTGAACTCGAACGAAACATCTTAGTTGAGAATCTTACCCGCCATTGTTGACATCATCAGAAGTTTCTGAAGAGAAAAAAATTAGAAAATATTTAATATGATAAAAAATTTACGTTGTTCATTTTGTGGTTGAATAAATGTTTTTTTAGTTCTAGATGGTGATTGATTTATTGTTGAACGAGCTGTTACTGATGTTGATCGAGGACTTGAGGAATGAATATCAGAATCTACTAATCGTGTTGATTCTAATCGAGATGAATGACGATCTAAAACAATAATGTTTATATATTACTTTTTGTCAAAAAGAAAGAATATTTTTTTTACTTGATAATTGTGTTGGAGGTTTTCGTACGAGTGGTGGTGGAACAAATGTTGTAAGATCTAATTCATTTTCATCATTATTTACTGGCATTAATGATGGTAATGGTGATAAATCAATTTCTTTAACATGTCTTGTAGAAGTCATATGTTGATCATCGTTTGTCATTGGTAAACGTGATATAGTTACTTTAATATGTCCAGGATGAATTTCACGTCGTACAGCTTCGTGTAAAATAGTAGCAGCTTCTAAATTTGATATATTTATCAATGAAGAATCATTAATAACAAGAATTTGATCATTCGGTCGTAATCGATTATCCTAAAACAAAAAAACGATAAGAAATTTAATATAAAATTTTTCTTCAAAGGATCAGACTGTGTAAGACTACAAATTTGTCTAACTTTTAAATTCATGTATCGTTCAATATCGAATCATTTGGTAATCATTCCAAATCGATTCGATAACGTTTAAATTAATAAGGATCCAAAAATACTACTCTTAGTTCGTTGTTGTCGGCATAGCTGTCGAAATTACGAGCTATCTTCCTAATTACTTTGCATAGTGATGATGCTTTCATCTCAAATTGCTCCTATCGAATGGAGTATTCAATTCTGCATCCATATCAGTAAGATCAGATCAATTATGCTCATAGACATGCCACCTGATAGATATTTACGAAGGTTAGTTGTAGTCAATCTTTACATACGAACTGATAGTGTATTTCAAAAATGACAAAATCTTAAATTTGTCAAACTGAAAAGTCTGATCACATAAGAAATTCTATTAATATTACTCTTAGAATATAGTTTTGTGCTCTTTTTGGTAGATCTTGACTAGACAAACTAAGAATTGAGTCAAACTTAATATGATATTCGAAATCAGCATTAAAAACTGAAAATCAAACTAGCTATATTTCAAACTTTTCTTCACTGAAGAATTTGCTTCTGGTCCAGAGTTGGAACCGGACGGATTTTTTCCATCCGATCCGGTCCGGTTGAAATCCGGCCGATTCATTTTTGACGTCAAACTGGCAAAAATCCGGCAAAAATTCGTCAAAAATCCGACTGGTTTATTAATTACGATCAAAAGCGACTACTACTAAATACAATCGAAGCTATCCATGTACATGAATTTGTACAAATATTTTCGACATATGTTCTCTTTTTCATGTGGAACTTCTAATAATCGCTGACATAATATTTCAACGCAAAAAAAGCGAATAAAAGTTGTTGTCATCGGAGAAAACTTTGAAATACAGGGATTAATTTCAATATTATGAACTGGCAAAAATCCGGTTTCGTCCGGGCCGGTTTAATTTTTCATCCGGTCTTGTCCGGTCCGGCCGAACCGGAGCCGGACTGGTTCCAACTCTGTTCTGGTCTATCTCAACGTTGAGTAAAAAAATGAATTTCATGAAAAATATTATTTTAATAACGGGAAACAACTTCGAATGCGGTAAAAAAACGATAATAAAGCATAAAATAGCAGATGGGCTGAATAATGAAAAAAGCATTTTTATGAAATTCATTTTTTGGAGCTAACCCTTAGAGAGATCAGGAAAAAGTTGGAACCAGTCGGGCTCCGGT